ATTGCCCTTCTCTTCACCCAAATCAATATTTATCTCTATCTATCTAACAGCATTCCCTCCCCTTCCCTCCCACCCCTGGTAACCAATAAAGAAAATGTCCTCCAATATATAAACCTTTCCTTATCAAAGTTGCTTCTTATCTACAGGAAGCAGCCCTCATCCCTAAAGCAGCTACTCAGCTGCTCCAGTAGATTCCACCATGGAATTAATTACCATTATCACCACGGGGAATAACTACATCCAGTTGCCCAGCCACTCAAGGAGGCCCAGCCAAGTAGACATACAACCTTAACTACCAGACACACTAAGGAATTTTTCACTTGTATTATGGTGAAAACATACAAAAGACATTTGCCAGAATAACAACTTCCACATTTACAGCTCAGGGACATTGATGACATTTTTTATGTTGTGCCGCCATTATTACTATCTGACATTAACCAAAATAAAAAAAGCCAAAATTACTGTCTTCAACTCCATCCTAACTCCTAGCAACATCCACTGGGTTTCTGAGGTGATAAATCTTTATGCAAGTAGATTTTGCCATCTTGCTTCCACAAAGTGGTTGGTGGGTTTATACCATCAACCTCTGATCAGCAGTCAAATGCCTCTGGCACTGCGCCACCAGAGCTCCAAGTGGTGCAATGCAACCACTGCTGTGGAGTTGGGTCTGACTCACAGCAACCCCTCCTTGGATTTCCAAGGCAGTATGGCTACAGAAGTACACTGCCCAACCTTCCTTCTGAGCTAAGGACACTAAGGAACTCTTCATCTCAGGTTAAAATTTCTGCCTTCTGCTTTTTTTCTGATGCTATTAAATGGCTCTCTAGCAAACAGGAACAATTTAATATTAGATTGTAATTTGGGACTATGGAGAACAGTCAAAATGTTGAGGGCTTCATTACTAGGAATAGACCCTGAGACGTGAGATCTAGGACACAAATAGATACATGCACACCCACGTATACCATGGCACTATTTACAATAGCAAAGAGATGGACACAATCGAAGTGCCCATCAACAGAGGAATGGATAGCCAAACTAAGGTTCATACACACAATGAAATACTATGAAACACTAAAGAATAACGCAGAATCGGCAAAACACCTCATATGAGGATGAACCTGGAGGAAGTTATGCTGAATGAAATAAGTCAATCATAGAAACATATTGTATGAGTCCACTACTGTAAAAAATCAAGGCAAGTTTACACAGGGAAGGACATTTTCTTTGTTGGTTCACAGGGATGGGAGGGGAGAAGGGAGGGAACAGAGATAGTGAAGGCACAGGTTTCATATGGGTATAAGGAGTTGAAAACAAAGAAAGATTAGACACTAGTCGACAGTTTTTAAAGTCAGGTTAAGGACACATGGGGATTCATTGTACTCATCTTTCTGTTTGAAATATTTTATAAT